TATAATTTTGACAATTTATAGATTGAGTTCACATTTTAGTGCTTTACATGAATAGTGGAGATGAGTAAGGACCCATGAGAGCATTAATGACAATCCTTTTTAGAGGGAACTTACATTTACTCAATGAACAATTTTTAAAATTTTAAATTTGTTCAATAATCTCATTATGTTTCTTTTGGTTAGGTGCATTTGGATAGTTGATTGACTTTGTCTTGATATGTACAATGCTCCCCTATGCCTATCTAGAAATGATCTTAGGCCATCCTTGATCTATTTTGAGCCTTAGCCTTGTTCTTGTGAAATTATCCCTAGTGCCATGTTTGAGCCTAATTGTAAATTCATTTTCATACCCCAAATTTGACCAAACCAGTGCAAAATGATAAAAATCTACCACACCTTGGTTGTTCCTAGAGCTGAATATGATTGAACATGAAAGAGAAGGAATGGTGATGTGGAAACCAAACAAAAAGAATGATGAATCCAAGAAAAGAGAGAGAAAAAAGGGTGAAAGAGAAAATAATGATCAAAGAAAAAAGGAAAATGTTAAGGAAAAGAAGAAAAAGAAATAAAGAGTAAAGTGATGGTGTAGACTAAAACTCCCAAAAAAAGGGAGACTTTTTTGAAATAAATGTCATGTACTCGGAACAACCCTCTTTGTTATCCTATATCCTTTATTTCATTTGCCTCAATATCGCCCCAAGGCCCCACTATAACCCTTGAAATTCCTAAATGATCTAGAGAAAGTATGGGGATAGCATACTTTTAAAGAAAAAGAAAGGTTGATTTTGTTATCTAATGCCCTAGCATTTATTTCATGGGATTATGCCAAGGTTGTTTCATTTCTACGCATACTTCATTTTGTGCATAAGATTCCATCTCACATATACACATGGACAACATGACAGGATAACTAGAGTGTGATTCATTGTTGAGAAACACCTTTGGTGAGTTTGCATCAAAGCTTAATTTGGATAGCCGAAGTGAATGTGAACTCTGTTGTGTAAATGTTTCAATTACATGTCCTTTTCATGCATACATGGGTTTGAAAATGATTGTGTATGTGCATAATCTAGAATAGTATTTAAAGCTATGATAATGCTCATGTGTGCTTAGTTCAAGCATTTGACTAATGTGTTTTGTAGCCCTATGCTTAAAGGGTGGGGAAATATTGCTCAACTCTCAATATTTGATTGATTTAGGAATGCCCTGTCATTTGAATCTATGTGTTGCATTTTGGGTATTCATTTTGGTAGATAAAATTAGATTTTCATGTCTTGTATTTTGAAATCATCAAAATTTTAAATCATGTTGCAATTTGAAAATGACTTTGGGCATGATCAATCAATTGTGGTTCACATGTGTGGTTCAAGTTTTTTGTAGATTAGATGTCATAGATAGGGTGTTTGAATGTTTCGGAGTTAAATAAAGTTGGTTTGGATATGAGTTTTAGAGCTTAGGAATGGCTTTATAAGAAAGGCAAAACCTTCTAGAAGGTTTTCATTACTGGACAGTTTTGCCTCAGTAGTGATCAAAACCTTCTAGAAGGTTTGTATCGACCTTTTGGAAGGTTAAGCTCACTGGACAGTTTTGCATCAGCAGTGAACAAAACCTTTCAAAAGGTTTTCATCGACCTTCTGGAAGGTTTTCATCGACCTTCCAGAAGGTCTTACCCAGAATGCTAAAAATGAGGGTTTTAAGTTCAAAATTTTTGAAAAACCCTTCCCATTTCCCTTCAATCTTAAGCTCCCAAACTCTCTCCTATCCCTCAAACTTCTTCCAAGCTTCAAAACACTTCACCCAAGCCCTAAATTCTTACTTTTCTCTTGATTAGGTTTGAGTATTGAAATAATTTTGCCAAAATTTGTGGACAATTCCCTAGGTCTCAAAATTTTCTCCCAATTTTAAATCTCTCTTATGGTTTCTCCAAAACCTTGACATCTTGTGCTATGGCTCGTTTGGGAAAGACTTCTCTCGACCACCAATGAATTATTGTCCAAGTTAAAACAGAATTTCTAGTAAAGATTCCTACTCCAGTAAAAATTACAGGATCAGTTACCAATACACCACCACCAGTGGTTAAGTCAGCAATGCCAGCACTCAGAGTCTCCACTTAGGATGTTCAGACATTGCCAGAAAAAGAATCCAAGTCTTCAACAAAGACTTGTTGCAAACCACAGAAGAAGAAATCATCTCACTTAATTGAACTGACCCAACAATTACTCCAGCAAGCCAGCTAAGAAGATGATGATTAAGTACTGGTACTTGACAAGAGGAAGGGACCTGACAGACAGAATGCTCAGGCACCGGTACCACGTTTAAGAGTTACCGGTACATCTTCCAAAAATTTTCAAAAACTTTAACTATAACTCTGTTAAACCTTCAGATCTTGAGCCCTCTTGTTGGAATAATATTATTGGTTAAACATCAAGGGCTAATTGATAGGGATGGACCTTGGAAGGGTGTGATGGATATATGTACAGGTTATGTGTTGGGAAGTGCTCCGGTATAAGGGAGATTATGCCCAAATACTGTATTGGTTGCTATCCCAATAAAGGGGATGTGATGACGTGGTGTCGGGTTATGCGACATTCACGAGTATTTTCATGGGTTGACAGGTGATCAACGAGTTAAGAAATGACTCCCACATTTTGGAGCGTCACAAGATTTATGCTAAAATTTTTTGAATTGGGAAGGTTTTTGAGTGAATCGATTGGGCGTGATGCAATTTTCTGGTAAATGATTTCATTTTTTAGAAATTGATGTTTCCCATAGTAGCCACCTAAAATAAATAAACATATTTTTGTCAATTGTATATTTTGTAGATTTCTAACCTTAAAAGTGTCCGAGATGAATCTCTCGTCTTGAAAGTATCTAACCCCGATTCCCCCAATAAAAAATGGGAAACTCAACGAAGGATTTTGAGAAATCTGTGTAGGGCAGTGGGGACCACTGTTAGCTTCAATTTGATCTAATGAATACGCATGATGGGCCTATTAACAACCAACATACTCATAAGGAAATTGAATTTGATATTAGAAAGCCTTCTATAAAAAAATTTAGATTCATGGTCTTTGACAATGCTTTAATTCATGGATGGCATGTGAAGGTCTTTAATACAAAGCATATTAAACCCAAGATTTAGAAAGTGCAAACAAAGCCATACACATCCATCTACTTTGATAGTGATTTTATATCTTAATGGCTATGTAATGGGGGCATCAGATCCACTCGCTATAAGGTGGAGGTCCCTATTTGACAATGCCCTCCATAACGCTGCATTTATACGTCCCTTTCTTAGAAGATCAGTGCCACCCATTACAACCATGGCCTCCATAATGCTGCATCAGACCAATTACTTTCTATACAACCATGGCCTCGTAGAGAGTGTTTAAAGGAAAACAAAGATCAGAAAAACGAAAGAAAACAAAATGAAGGTTTTAGTTTCCCAAACTGAAAGAAGATTTAAAGATTCCTCTATACCCCTCTCAACTCCAAAAGAACTCGTCATCGAAACAGAATATTGACCCTTGAAACCATATAAATAAGACTGGGTCACTAGATGAATGGGACTTCCTCCAATGTAAAGAGGAATTCATAAAAGCATAGAGCACACCTAGATGACAAAATTAAGATTTCCATAATAATCAAACAACACCAAAACAAATATCCTTTCCAGGAAGGGACCAAAAAAAAAAAACTCTAAACAATTATAGGTTTCAACATCTTTGCATTTTCATCCAGATCACAAAATTAAGATTTCCATAAGAATCAAACAACTCCAAATAAGTCTTCCTTTTTAAGGTCACAACAGAAAAAGAAGTCTAAAATTGTTTCATCATCTATGCATTTTCATCTACATGACAAAATTAAGATTTCCATAAGAATCAATGAATCCCTAGAGCTCTCTTCTTTAGGTCGGGACACAAAAAAAAAATTCTCATAAGAATCAAATAACCCCAATAAAAGTCTCCTTTTTCTAGGTCGGGACACAAACACAAGTCTGAAATTAGACGGTTCAACATCTATGCATTCCCACCTAGATAAAGAGATTAGGATTTCCATAAGAATGAAATAAACCCAAAAGAAGTCACCTTTTCTGTGTCTCGACACAAAAAGAAGTCTGAAATCATTAGTTTCAACATCTATGCATTTTCACTAGATGACTAAGTTAACATTTCCATAAGATTCAAGTAAGTCCAAAGTAATTCTCCATCTTTTGGGTCCGGAAACAAAAATAAGTCTAAAATTATAACCTTTAACATCTCCGCATCGATTCGGAAAGAGAAACGCACCAAATCAGAGCAAATTTATGTAACCACCACCCAAATTTCTCCATAAATTATTAGATAAAGGTAACAGAAAATCACAGCAGAGCGGGTTCATATTAATTTGCAAACAACCCGCATACTCACAAGCTAAATGATAATCACAATTCACAACACAAAAACCAGACTCTTTTAACTCAAACCCACGGAACAAGTAATAAATCGTATTTAACATATAAAGCAAACCCCGCCAAGTCAAAAATTGGTTTCAAATACAGATCCAGAATTTAAACACTAAGATGGAACCAAAACAAAACATAAAACCCACAAACAACCACTAGTCAAATGTATAAATCACAGATGAATAACTTACAAAAAGAATAATCATGACCGTATATAGTGGCAACATAAATATACATTCATACCAATAGTATCTCAATCATAGACAACCAATACCCATCATCAATCTCTCTCTCTTCAGTTGTATACCAAGCAAGAAGCAACCCACCTTAAAATTAGGGGGGAAAAAGAAAAAAATTGCAAATAAATTAAAGATACCAAATAAGAAAATATCTATGATATTAACGCCTGCAGCGAGTAATGGCACTGCAACCACGGCTGTATGGATTGGCCTGTGCTCCAGGGCGGCAATTGTAGTAGGAGGCGCCACGTCGAGAGCAGGGGACAGTGTTCCTCCGCAGAGCACCGTAGCTGATGTAGCGAGTGGTGGCTAAAATGCGCCGGTTAGACTCAGAGTCGAGCTCGAACTCGTCGTCGGTCAGGCATTCGGCGATGGTCCCACGGCATCCGGATCGAGTGGGTATCCAGCCCAGGGGATTCTGGTGGTCGCCGCTTGCAGCAGCAAGGGTCGGTGTTGCTGATGAGAAGATGAAACCGGTGATAAAGCAAATGAGGCAGAACATGGAGGCACATGAAAAAGCTGTCATTTTGAGTGAGGAACTCTCTCTCTCTCTCTCTCTAGTGTGTTCAAAGTTGAAAACAGACTGGCAGGTTCGCCGAGGCAGTTGTGTTTTTACTTATAACCTTGGTGCTGTGCTAAATAGGTGCCGCTGATTGAGTTCTAATTTGCGGAATTGCCACCAAGCTATCGAAACCAATTCATGGGTGGCCACTCATTTTGACCTGCTTTTATATAGTTGTAGAAAGCGATGAAGGTTCAATTGGCCAATTTTGCCAGTGTAGGGTTTGTACTTTGTCAACTCTATAATTTATTGGCATAAAATTTAAGCAATATTCCCGCAAGATAAAGCTAAGATATGGACGGTGCATTTTGAGCCATTACTAGTGATGTCGGTGGATTGAAGCGATGGCGAGGACGGGGGTATAGTCTCTATATTTATACTCGCTTAAAAAAATTTTGTTCATCTCCGGTCTACCTCCGTTAACAAGTATAGTTTTCATTTCCATCATCGTTCACGTGTAAATTTATAATCACCACCCCCACCTTCGCTTCCCCTGTACCCATCCAAACCCAAGTTCAAATCAACATAATTTAAAATTCTAAATAAATTCAAAATTTTAAATAATCTAACAACATTCTAAATAATTTAATATAATCTAACACAACATGATGTATCATAACACCCTAAATATACATAAAACCCAAATGATAAAAAGTACAAGAAGGTCCCCGACTACTTGTAAACTTCCATGCTCTTTCAAAACTTTGCAACTCTTTAAAATTCTTCACCATCATTTGTACAAAGCCAACCACTACCCTACTGTCTTCAATCATGAACATATATCTAACTTAGAATCCATAAAGAGCAGCATGCAAACAACTAACCATGCCTTAATTTTGATAATTTAATAAAGTTTGCTTTTCAACTTCATTCAAAAATTAGATATTATTATCAAACTTCACAATCAAACCCCCACCCAAGCACAGGAAAAAGGACAAAAGCATAAAAGAACTAAGAAAAGGGATCCTCATACCATCTCAACATAACACAGATAACAAATGTCCAATATATTACTTGAATATTTGTAATGGAGAAACTTTTTTGTCATGTAGCTTCACACCTGTAATTTAATAAAGAAAATAAAGCATAAAAAACTATATGTTTTAACGGGTATAGTAGGGGCTGGGCCGGGGGTAAGGGTAAATTCATTCCCGCCTTCATCTCCACACGGGTTTATATGGGTATCCCTGTATACATCCACCGTCCAATACGTATAGTCCATCTCCGGTCCAAACGGGGTGAGTTTAGATGAATACCCGTTTTCTCCCGGTCCACTATCATCCCTAACCATTACTAGACAATTAATTTATCTCGGCATAGACTAATAATCCTAGATTTATATTGATGGTATGACAAAATATATAAGAATGATACCTAGATCAGGAGCTCAACTCCTCAATTTTACTCGTAGTCCTCGATTTCAAACCTCAACTCCCCGCGTCAATATCTCGAGGAAGTTTGTGCTAAGGATAGCTGGATCCCACCAAGTCATCTCTTTTTCTTAGCGTCAATCACCCAACAGGCACAAGTCTCATTGCGCAATGAGGGAAAACAGTTACAAGGGAAGGGCGAGGATCTCGCCTTAGATCAAGCAAAGAACAGGAATAACTATAAATATGAGGCAAGGCCCTCGAAGAGGGAGAGAGCCATTATAGCTTTACAAGATATTCTTTGTAAACCACACATAAAAACTAATAGATTTAGGAGCAAGAGATTCCCTTAAGAGTGGATTAACCGAACTCCCGAGTTGATGAACCACTATAAACACTGTGCGTAATCATTCATTAATCCCAAGAAAATCCTATTCCTTATAGCCTTGGAGCTTAGACTAAATTATTTAGTACACCTTATATTCACACCTCTGTCTAGTCGCGTTAATAACATTGTCAGTTGCCGCTGTTTGTAGGAACAACTATTTCCTGTTAAAACATATACTGATTTAATTCAATAATAGATAGTTTCTACATGTAGCATAAGCAAAGAATAGATTAATCTTCCTCAATTACAGAACCAACAAGAAGCTACCACTGGGAGGCAGTAAAAAAATTTCCATGATTTTTTGCCTACACCTAAAGTCGATCCCCCCATAGTGAATCCTGCACCTAACAACAAATTGGAGGCCCTTTGCCTACCCAATCAACGTCTCTTCCAATAAAATGAGGAGTTGATGAATATACTTCAACATCCACAAAGAGCACAGCCAGCCCAAGACGATCTCCCTCAAAGGGAGCGGCAGCACAACAACCCCCTGAAAGATGTTACCAAGGGAGATGAGCATAGCCAAACTATGGGCAATACCAATCGTCGAATTCGTAGGAATGAGGATGATGAGAAAGTGCAAAGTTAAAATAAGGAAGCTCGCAATAATGAATTTCCTCTATTTTAACAGGAAAGAAAAGAACAACATTGGGAACAACGCTTCAAAGACCTTCAACAGGTGCTCAGCCACATGAAGGAGGCTGTTAAAAGCAAAAATCCAATGACTATGGATGCCTTAGTTCAACAGACTGAGTCCCCATTAACCACATAGGTGCTGCACTTTCCACTTCCACCTAAATTTAGAATGCCCCAGATAGAGGCCTTCGATGGAACAAAAGATCACATGGACCACTTCAACACCTACAAGAATCAAATGGAGCTACATGGGTACCAGGATCTGGTACGATGTCGAGCCTTTGCTATCACTTTGAAAGGTTCAACCCTGGTATGGTTCAATAGGCTGCCCCCAGCATCCATCTTATCCTTTAGAGAGCTCTTCGTCTCCTTTGTATCACACGTCATAGGAGCTCGAACTTATCAAAAACTGAGTTATCACCTGTTGAATATGAAACAGGGATCCAATGAAAGCCTGCGGAGATATGTTCAAAAGTTCAACTCAGAATCCTAGAAAGTGGATGTCCTTGATGAGAAATTCGTCATCACTACCTTTATTGTTGGGTTGGGAATCCAGTCAAAGGATCTGATGTTCTTTATCTCTAAAAACTCGTAAACCAGTATGGTAGAAATCTTGTCAAGGCAAAAAAGTACATCAAACAACAAGGAAGCACTCCTCTTCAAGGTAGGGAACACATCTACGCATAAGGAGAAAGAGAAGAAGAGAGACTGAAGTTCTATAAAGGAAAGAAGTAGAGATAGATCTCCACGAAAAGACAGGAACCACTCTCCGAAAAGGAGAGGAGATGTCAGAGACCACCTCGGTCCACCACCGCAGGAACTATAGCCAAGATTTGCACCTCGACAGTACACTCATCTCACAGTCACAGTGTCTTAGGTCCTTTATGAGATACAGAACGAAAATTTTATATGGTGGCCAACTCGAATGAAGGCAAATCCTGCAAAAAGGGACACAACAAAATACTGTGAATACCACAGAGACCACGACCATCTCACTAATGACTGTATCTAGTTGAAGAAGGAGATCGAGTTCCTAATCCAGGAGGGACAAGTACACCGCTTTGTGACGCAAGACAATCAGAATCAAGCTCAACCACCTCCAGCACCTCAGAAATAAGTCCCTGCGTAGCATCAACAACCTCTAGGAGAGATCAAAGTGATATCCGGAGGATTTACTGGAGGCGGGGAGTCCAACTCAGCCAGGAAGGCTCACATATGCAAATTCAGAACTTACTAGATACTGGAAGTACACATTGTGTCCAAAACACCTCGGCTAAACATGGATATCACTTTCTTAAATACAGACCTAGAGGGATGCTAGCATCCTTACAAAGACCCCTCAGTGGTAAGGGCCATCATCGCCAATAGGACCATCCATCAAGTCCTGATTGACAACGGGAGCTCGACTGACATCATCTCAAATGGATTTGATAGGGAAAATCTTTCCCCCTTCCACAAAGCAACATTCTTTCATCATTTTGGCTACTAACTATTATATCAAGTGGGTAGAGGCCATTCCGATGAGGATGGTCAATCAAGCCAATATTATATGAATGATAAATAAAACTATTATGGACTAATTTGGGCTTCCCCAGCACATAGCGGCCGACCAAGGAATACTTTGTGTAGGTAGCGAAGTCAAGAGATTTACAGAGGAATATGGTTTTAGCATAATTTACTCAATCCCATATTATACGCAAGGAAACAGCCAAACAGAGTCCACTAAAAAGGTAATGAAGGGAATCATCGCAAAAATGGTGGAAGAAAGCCTAAGGAAATGACACGACAAACTATCAAAAGCACTGTGGGCATACAAAATGTCCAAATAGTCTAGCACCGAAATCATACCATTCAAGCTAACATATGGCACGATGTAGTCTTGCCGTTGGAAATTACCGTGAAATTGTTGTGAGTAGCTTTCCAGAATAGGTTGAATCCAGCTAAATATAGAGAAGCCATGATGGTCGAGCCTAAGGATTTGGATGAAGTACAACTGAGAGCTTTGGACTGCATCAAGGTACAAAAACTCAGAGCCGCTAGGTCATATAACAAAGGGGTCAAAAACAAGACCTTCAACATAGGCGAATGAGTATGGAAAGTAAAGTTGCATTTAGGACTAAATGACCCAAGAACTAACGAATGGTTGATTAATTGACCATTCGAAATCCTTGAAGCAAAAAATGTGGCATTTACCACTAAAGAGATTTGGATGGAGAATGCAATCCTCGATCCATTAACGAGCAATTCTTGAATGCTTACAGACCAATGATCTAGGAGGTTGCGGAATATGAACAAGACCTTTAAAAGAAGGATGTCACGACCAGTGGCCTAGGGCTGGCTGATAGCCAATAAAGAAATCATTCTAGCATTGAATAGTTGTAAAAATGCAAAAAATAAAATGAAAAAGAGCAAACAATATTGTAAATTTTATTCATAGAAGTTTGTACAATTTCAATGAATACAATTTGCACAATACATAAAAATAGAAATGATCCATAAGAGATGCGTTAGATTGGTTTGCTTCTGTAGGCTTATCGTCTTGAGTTTGAAGATCATAACTTGCACTTGTGGAGACAAGAAAAAAGGAGCAAAAGTGAAGGAGAAATCTTGGGTGCAAGAGGTAGAGTATAGACCTTTGACAAGTGCATCTCCTATCAGAATCTCGCTGAACGTGCAAACCCTCGCCAACCACCGCTT